GGTAAGGATCATTATGATTTTGTGAAAACAGTTCTTCGAATTGCTTATCTCACTTTAGATGAGTTCATTTTAAACCTATGGCCTCTAGTTTTGCTCACACAATCTAAGGCAAATAGCCTCTTTCCATTTAAATCACCTACGCCTCTCATTCTTTAAAGAGCTGGGATTATGACTAATGGAAAAGTTCAGCTCTGTGAGGGTCTTCTCATAACATAGAGCTTGAAGTTCCAGAATCACCATAATTTTTCTTCTCTGAAGTCCATCCAACACTTGAAGTTAGGGTTCCACAAAAAACAGCACACAATTCCTAAAGTGGTCACATCAATAATCTATACAAGATGCAAACTGTTACTGTATTTGCCTACTTTGTTAATAGCAACTTCCCATTGAGTGGAATCCTTCAGTGAATGATCAATAACATTTGATCAATTACCTTTCCTCTCATTCACCAGTAGCTCACCTGGTTCGAGTTCTACTTAACCAATTGCCATCACTTTGTCTCTGTTTTTCCTTCTGCCTATCACCTGCAGCGTAACCCAAGGCTCTATCCTTGGCCCCTTCTTTTCCCCTTTTACATGCTCCGTCACAATAGTAATAATCTGCGACATGGGGCAAACATCCACATGTATGCAGATGACACTCCAATCTTTATCCAGCTGCAACTCCAAGTCCATTGATTTTATTCCAACGCCCTTCTCACCGGTCTCCCCAGCTATGCCATTCATAAAATCCAATTAATACAAAACTCCATTGCCGTTATCCTCACCTGAACTAAACTCTGTACTCCTGTCTCCCCATTCCTTGCCAGGGTCCATTGGGTCCCTATCACAGAATGAATTGATTTCAAGATCCTCTTATGTGTATACACATCACTTCCTCCCTAACCCTCCGACCTGCTTTCAGGGCACTCTACTAACCACTGCCTGTGCTCAGGTGGCTCCAGCCTCATACACTTCGCTTGTCCCCTCCACCATCAGCAGCCATGCTTTCAGCCATTACGCCCTGAAACTATGGAACACTCTCCCTCTACCCCTCCACCTTGTCCCTTTGTTCCCTATCTTCAGATCACACCTGAAGACCTTCCTCTTCGACCATGCCTATGGTCATTCCCTACTCAGCTTGAAGCTCCACCAATGTTAAATACTCTGAGACACTACCCCACGTGAGGTACACTATATAAATGCACATTGTTGTTGTTGATGTTGAGCCAGGTAGGTCTAAAGTACATCAAGGAACTTCTAATAACAGAGGTCCAGCCTGACTCAACCTCAGGACTTGGAGCGGCATTTAGGTCACTAGGGGCAGGGATTCTTCCCACTGAGCTCTGAAGCTCTTTGACACATCCTCTCGACTTGAAAGACACTATATAAATGTGAATTGTATTATATTGTTGAACTTGTAAGCCAAAGGCCTAAAAGATAGGATGATTCGAGCTGGATAGGCAGCAGGACGCTTGCCAGTTCTATGTGTTTTTAGCTGTTTAAACACTGCCTTGGGGTCCTCAAGCCTTGGCTCTTTCCAACATATACAGTACCTAATACTTTCAGGAATTATGTAAGCATAGTGCATGTCTCCAGGGACATATCGCACATTTTATTCCAGACGCTGGAAAAATTTCACATGTATTTTGCATGCATATCATAGAATTATATAGCATAGAAGGAGGCCATTTGGCCCATCATGTCTGTGCCAGCTTTTTGAAAATAACCATCCAAATCAATCCCACTCCCCTGCTCTATCCCCATAGCCCTCCCTCCACTCCTTATTCAAGCCCATGTTGAGCTCTCAGTCAAGTTTTGTTAATTTTAAGCAACTCTTGTGAGTAATAGCTTTCTACATATATCAAAAAAATGGCCCGCCTGGGAACTATGAAAAGAGCATTTGGAAGTAATAAAGAGAGAGCCATGCAATCATCTCCTTAATAGCATTATTAAAAAAATCAAATTCTAGTGGGACCACAAGATGTACACATGAAGAATACCAATGTCAGAATTGTGTTATTTTTCCAGCATATAGAATGGATTATAGAGCAGAGAGTGTAAACTAGGCTTCCTAATCCATATCTCTATACTGCTTCACTTTCCTAGCACAATACTAATTTAATATTAAAGATAGGCTATTGATAGTAGTTCTTTCGGTAAAATGTTGCACAGGACATGCGTCCGGTAAGATTAACACACAGATTTAATATAGTTACTCGATAAAAGGGAATACTTTGCTCTCTTGTCACTTGTCCCAAAAAATTGATGCAATTGAAAACAAGATTTGTTTTGGGTGTTAAATCTTTTTAATACCACACTCTTTTTATTGTTGCTGCATTGAAATTTAACACAAGCTGTTTGTGTCATGTTTGCCCAAGTATACTCTGGAATATTTTCAGGGCAATGGTTTTATTTACAGTCGAAGTACAGACCCAATGCTTAAACTGTATTTCAATTATTTCATTCACATGTGTGTGCCCTTTTGGGTGTTAAATTACATTAAAAGATGATTTAAGACACAAAACGTATCTTGCTTTCAATTACATAATGTTTTGGGACAACAGTAACAACATTCTAGGGAGCAAAATATTCCCTTTATCGAATAACCATATTAAATGTGTGTGTGTTAATCTTACCAGCATTTCCCACCATAAAAAGTATGGAAATATTTATCTATCCAACTAATGATACTCCAGATACCCTGACAATTCTTTCTATTCAATTGCTCTACCAATCTACCAAGGCAGATATTTGAATATTATTGTTAGATGATAAGGGTGATACAGTTTGAGAATTTGCTGCTTTGTTTATCTGAAATTCTAACTATGCAAGTGGCCATTCTTGGGTAGTTTCACCCACAAAATATATAGTCAATTCACTTTACAGTATATTCTGTGAAATGCTTTGAGACTTCTCCTACAGTCATAAAACTCCTTTCGCTAGAACAACTGGCCACAACACTAGCATACACCAATAACTGAAGCTCAACTCCAAATCATGCCATTGAAAAACTGCAACATCTGTCTTCTGAAACTGGTACAGCAAGTGAGCGATTTGTGTAGGAAGGAGGCAATGGATTTTCCCCTTACGCAATATTATTACACTTCACAAAGCCTAATAAATACACCTGTCATTCAGCACCTGCAATTATTATTATACATGCATAACAAATACATGTGCCACACTCCTGAAATTTGAATCCTGCAATTATACTAAACATGAAACTCTACTGCGTCATCAGTTGAATTGCAGAGTCCCCAACCCTTCTTCTCCTCCTCTGCAATAAATTAATTTCAGTTTTACCCAAAGGGAAACAAATATTTTACTTTTAAGAACAATCAGACACGCCTAACATTTTGGGCTTATAAATCCTTGTCAATTGAACTACTGAGAAATAGCTGTTGGGAAAAGAATTATATGACTGGAGGAATAGACATATTAGTTATTCATATTCGACAGTATAATTATTATAATAATTGGAGTCGTGTGGAGTCCTGTAGCTCAGTGGTTAGAGCACTCGCTTTGCAAGTGAGAGACCTGAGTTCAATTCCAGGCAGAGGGCGAAACCTTGGGCAAGTTTCCTTACTCCACACAGAGCCTAATAATAATCCCTCCAAAAACAAAAACAATAATAAATTGGTCATTTTCAATCTACGACTGTTTGTGGGACATTGCTGTGCGCAATTGTCTGCCGCATTCGCCCACAAATATACAGTCAATTCACTTTACAGTGTGTTCTGTGAAGCGCTTTGGGACGTCCTCCCGACGTGAAAAGCGCTATATCAAATGCAAGGATTATTATTATTATAATAATAATAATAATCCTTGCATTTAATATAGTGCCTTAACACAACTTCAAGAATTCTCAAAGTGCTTCACAAAATATACTGTAAAGAGAATTGATTGTATAATTTGTAGGCGATAATACGTTAATCTCAAAATTAGTATCTGATCCGCTCTTTTAGAATCTACAAAATCAGATCAGTTATTAATTTTGAAATGAACGTGTCCTAATAATCGCAATCTTGGTAGTCCATTCTCTGGATTATTACATACACTAACAGCACATTTAAATGCGATAATTTACCCGTGCCCAATACATGCTGAGAATGGTCTGTATAGTTATCAACCTGTTACATCTTGACGGACTGACTGGATTATTTCTGTGAAGTGCTTAGAAACACCGTACATCAAACGTAGTCATAATCTTGTTTCGACCTGACAAGGCGCTGCAGCATATCAATCGCAAGGACCGTATCGCTGTGTTTATTAACCTCAGAGGGCATTTCAATTAATTCACCATCAATATGGTATTAAAAAGCTCCGCCATCTACATATATTTAAAAAAAAACCACAGCTAAATCACTATGATTCGCCCAGTACCACCGCCCACTGCCCACCGCCCACTGCCCACCGCCCACCGCCTACCCCACCGCCCACCGCCCACTGCCCACCGCCCACTGCCCACCGCCCAGCACCCAGCGCCCACCGCCCAGCGCCCAGCGCCCAGCGCCCAGCGCCCACTGCCCACCGCCCAGCGCCCACTGCCCACCACCCAGTGCCCACCGCCCACTGCCCACCGCCCACCGTCCACCGTCCACCACCCACTGCCCACCGCCCACCGCCCAGCGCCCACCGCCCAGCGCCCACCGCCCACCGCCCACCACCCACTGCCCACCACCCACTGCCCACTGCCCACCGCCCACCACCCACCGCCCAGCGCCCACTGCCCACCGCCCAGTGCAGCCTCTGCACTGTGACAGTCCTGAGAGCCTCGGGCTCGGGGGGGGGCGGTGGTCCCTCTGGTTACTAAAGCCCGGAGCCGAGGGGCAATTGGTCCGCAAAACATACACACAGTCACTTCACTTTTACAGTCTATTCTGTGATAGATAAGACTCGGTATCAGATTACGAGGAGTATTACTACGGCGATGATGATTCCCAGCGATGAGTAACACATATATATATATAACAACAAGGACCGGGCCGGGCCGGGCCGGGCGTGTGCGGTATTGCCCAC